TCCTCCAGCGGCTCTGCTTCCTCTGGCTCTGCTTCCTCCGGCGGCTCTGCTTCCTCTGGTGGCTCTGCTTCCTCCGGCGGCTCTGCTTCCTCTGGTGGCTCTGCTTCCTCCGGTGGCTCTGCTTCCTCTGGTGGCTCTGCTTCCTCCGGTGGTTCTCCTGCTGGCCCTGAGGCCGCCGAGACCCCTTGCGAGACGTTGGTTTCTGAGACTGTTGTCCCCATTGCTACCAAGACCGGGTCCGTCTCTAGCGGTGCTGCGGCCATCACCGCTGCCCCTACCGCGGTGCCTTCTAAGGGTCCCAAGGTGGTCACCATCACCACGACCGTCATCGTTTCCGCCTGCGACTACTAGATTTGATTGTTGGCTCGTCAAGACCACTTACAACTTATGAAACGATGGAAATGGGAGAAATGGTGCAATAGTCTTGTATATAACTAATTTTAATTATAATTCTGCTGTTCCGTATTCTGGAGCTGTATCATCAGGATGGTGAAGTTCAGTTGAGCCGGACGTCGTGGCATTACCACCCTTATTCTTTTTCATTCGCCTTGATTCCCAACTACGTGAAGTACATTCCTCACGTGGATAGATCAAGTATTTAAGCTTCGCTATATCAAATTGATTGTCAAGGGACAGTGAATATACACTGTGTAGCCTAGAGTCACGTATGTCTTTGCCATCACTTCACTACCTTACCTCTGTTACTCCATACCGCCCATCACTCCCTTGGCCTAGTCTAGGGCAAGGATCCAAGAAAGAAGGCCGAGAGCGGGCCACTAGCGTAGAGGACATTTCGATCAGCACGGCCATGCTCATCACCGGTGATTGTAATTAGAACCGGAAGCAAACAGAGAAGGACTCCGTACGCTGGGCTGCGCTGAGCGGCAATCTCGTCTGCATGACGCGGCATGAGAGGCTGAGACGTATGCACGAATGCAGTCAGTTAAGTTTGTTGATTGATGGCTGATTGCCGATTATTTGCGAGTGTGAGTGCACTCAGTGCAGTGCTAACCGCCGTTGATCAATTGCAGTACGGGGTAGTATGTGTTTGATCGACGGTTTGACAGTCGGCATGCACGTTGATAGTGGGTCCGAATACTCCGTAGCCTACGCTGTACAGAAGTAATAGAAACAGGAATGTTGGGACTAGACTCGAGTATCTATCCGGCAGCATGAAATGAGGGGTATACTCCTTCGTAGATACCCCGAAGAGTGCAACGGGGTTACGGGAGGCCCTGCAAGGCGATGATCGTTATTATTGACACTTCTGGACAGATGATCATCCTGACCAGTGACCGCTACAGATTGGGGGGATGGGGTCTAAGTGTTTGACTTTGACTTTATTTGACTTTGGCTTATATCACTCGAATTAATAAATAGTGCAGATCACGAACCAAGGTCTCCCACATGGTTGACACTATTGCTGATCAGCTTCCACGTGGAGTCCATATCCACGTATTCAGAATTACAACCATAAGTGAGAAGAAAAGAGAAGATCTCTAGAATCAAGAAGTCCTAAAAAGGTACATAGTTATCTTTCTCTAGATCACTAGTAAGCCGCACCCCACTTGTCAAGGCGTCTATTGATCACCCAGCTTCATGTTCCATCGGTATGCTGCTTGGACGCTGTCGTATTACCACCTACCTTATCATGAGAGGCAGTACGGCGCATTGCTACTAGCTTTTCTCGGAGAAGCTTCTCGCGCAGCTCCGTGCTCGATATGCGCGGCCGATTGGGTTTTGAGTGGATAGTCTGTCGAGTTCGTCAGTCTGAATAGTTCTCTGGGACCGGAAATCGGATAAGAGACATAGGAACGAACATCAACAATCCAGTTACTCATCGGGTATAATATCCATCTGAGATCAGTTACCCACCTCTTCAGTATCCTTCGTCTCGTGATCTGTCGAGCTCGGCTGCTCAGGCGGTGGAGACGACCGCTTTGCGGATCCCTCGGCTGGATCAGCCATCCTCTGTCGTTTCTCAGTATGTGTAGATACAGAAGAGGTGTTGCGCCGTCTTCGGGCAGCAGGGGCATATCTCTCAATAGAGCGACGTCTCTTCCTTTCTCTCCCATGACTGCGGCTGCGGCTGCGAGAAGCACGCCTCGGACTGACGCTGCCAGTGCGAGAACGGCCTCGACTGCGGCTGCGGCTGACACTCCTGGTTGAGCGCCGACGTCTGCGCTCATCATCGCGATCTCTGCTGCGACTCAAACGGCGATCATCACGGGACTTGCGGGCCTTTGCAGAATCAGCGGTTGGTTCATTCTTGTCAGCTTTTGAGGTGTCAGGTGAGGATCCCCTCCGTCTGCTGCCCTTCTCATCCGGCCCTCGCGACCTAGACCTTGACCTGGAGCGGGATCGGTCTTCCCCTCTGCGCCGGTCTCGGGGAGCCGGCGAACGGGATGAACTGCGGGAAGAGACAGATCTTCGTCTCCTTTGGTCTCTTCTGGGAGTACGTGAGCGAGATGAATCACTGCGGGAAATGGATCTAGCTCGATCACCGTAGTCTGGGCTGCGTCTTCTCGGTCTCCTGTGGTCTCCTCTTACTGGAGAAACAGAGCCACTCGCGGAGCGGCGACGTTTATCCCGATATCTGTCTCTGCTTGGTAGGCGTCGACGAGGTGGCGATCGAGATGAGGAAACGGAACGAGAGCGGGAGCGAGAGGCGCTGGGCGATCTTGAAGGCCGACGGCCCCGGCGCGAACCTGGGGGAACGTAAGAATCAAATTCTCGTCTTGAGGGTGGATCACGAAATCGCTCGCGGCTTCGTCGCCTGGGTGGCGATCGGTTGTCCCTGTATGGCCGTCTATCAAAGTCTCGACCTCCACGACCGCCGCCTCGTCTGCCCCGATTGCGATCGAAGCGTTCTCTTCGCCGGATTTCTTCCAGCTCCCTTTCGCGCGCTAGCTCCTGCTCCTTCTTGCGGCGAGCTTCTTCCGCTGCTTTCTCGGCCTCGATCTAGTGGAAAATTATCAGCATCCTGTGGGAAAACAGTTCCAACAATCTAGTGGCTTTACCTTTTCTTGTATGAGTTCAAGTTTCTTGGCTTCCAGGAGCTCCTTCGGGACGCCTTGGGGGTTCTCTTGAGCGCTGAGACATAGTGACCAGAGGTCTTTACAGAACTTGGCGGTATCCTTATCCAGAAAGCCCGTAAGCTGAATTTGTAGAGATTTGATATCCGGCTATAAATCGTAAAGTAATCGGTCAGTGAACTGCTCCGGACCCAGAACATGCGCCGAAGGAAACATACGAATCGCGAGCCTTCTAGTAAGTTAAAACAGAGCTCGATAACGACGTCGTCTTCGTTTCCAAGTATCTCAGAGATCTTTCCAGCAATCCATCTACAACCAGGCCTTCGTTAGGACACGCTCTTTCCGAATATTTGGGTTCAAGGGTCGATTCTCACTTCTTCATAACCTCAATATTGACCTTCTTCATGTCCACCTTCCGATTGAACTCGGGAGGGAACTTGGTCTGTCTGAGCAATTTGGCATCTATGCTTGACGCCATATTTGCTGGAACCTATGACGATTCGTGGTACCGCCAAAAGCGCGATTGAGCAAAAAGGAAGAACGCGTGTAATTGCGACGGTGATGCTCCAAATTGCGTTTGTGGCCGCAAAGGTGCCCGTACTTCGGAGGTCATGTCGGGCCGTCTACAGCAGCTTTCCCACTAAGTGAATGACAAGTCTAGGTCCTGAAGAAGTACGGAGTAGAGAATAATGCTTAATTCTATAGTGCTCCATTGCACTGGGTAGGTGTGTTTGAGCGAAGTACGAGCCGACGCCAGGCCCTGAAGCAATGGAAATCAACTAGACATGTGACCGTGACCCGATCAACGGCAGCCATCTGTAAGAACAAATCATGGCATCATAACAGTAACAGTGTTAACATTTAGACTGAAATAAGTGTCCCTGAACACAGTCTCAAGCTTCCAGTTCCCTTAGGACCCGGTTCACCTCCTCCCGAGCACGAGTAAGCTCCTCATCAACCGTGCCCAGCGCATATTTCGTCTTCATCTCATAGTGCAGATCAACAAGCTCCTTTGCCCGTCGGAGATCATCATTCTGCTGTTCCTGCTGTCGCTTGCTCGCAGCGGCTTTGCTCTTGTCATCTGGTGATACTCGTGCCTCGTTGAGCCTTTCATTGACGGTGACTAGGGCAAGGGCGTCATTAAAATCCTGTCTCAGTTCAGAAGGTGTACCTATTAGGCTGATGTCTTCGAAAAATCGAACGTACGCAGACCCGTAGCGAGGCGAGATCAGAGAGGATCTCTGCTACCTGCATGGTGGATGAGTATGATAGGTTGAAGTCGGGGGTGAGAACGTTTCTTCTTCTGGGTATCTCCGTCAGGAAGATGACGATGTCTTGGCAGGATCATGCATGGTGATCAGGTAATTTCATTAGCCTCACACTCTAGAACTCAATCTGAGTCCCTGTTGTTCGCTATCATGGCATCATTCACTCTTCTATCGACAAGAATAACTATAAATTCCTAGACAGCATTGAGATGGCTGTATCCGGACATGAAGTGCCGAGGTCGGAGATTCGGGGTGCTCTCCGCGGATTGCGGAGATGGACCGGCTGATGTCAAGACGGGGATTTGACTACAATATTTACTGACGCTTGACAGCGAATGTCCCTCTAAGCAAGACTATCTCCCTTCCAACCAGACTTCCTCGCAATGGCAGCCTCAATAAGAGCCAATTGCAGAAAGGTGATTTGCATCGGTCGAAACTACGCGTGAGTACTCGAATGGCCCTAAACAGCCATTATCACCACTGACGAACGCTCCCCCGCAGCGACCACATTACAGAACTCAACAACGCCAAGCCGAAGCAGCCTTTCTTCTTTCTGAAGCCGCCGTCCTCTATTCTTCTGCCGCGCGAGGGTCCCGTTCTGCGTCCCAAGGGAGTCAGCCTGCACTATGAGGTGGAATTGGCGCTAGTGATGGGCAAGACAGTTCGGGATCTGGACCCGAACGATGAGAAGGGCGCCCTGGATGCCATTCGCAGTCAGTACCTTAGATATTTCTCCTGTATTCTCCGCTTCGAAAGACTGACATATAATCCTCGTGTCAGGCTACCTCCTCGCCATTGACATGACCGGCCGGAACGTCCAAGACGAGGCAAAGAAGAAGGGCCTCCCCTGGTCCATCGCCAAGGGCTTTGACACCTTCCTGCCCATTTCGGAAGAGATCCCCAAGGCGCGCATTCCTGATCCCCACAATGCCTTCTTGCGCCTCAGCGTTGGCTCCCACCTCCGCCAGGCAGATTCCACCGGCCTCATGCTCTACCGGATCCCCAGGCAGCTGGCAGAGATCTCGCGCGTCATGACGCTGGAGAAGGGCGATCTTGTTCTGACTGGTACGCCCAAGGGAGTGGGAGAGGTCAAGGCCGGCGATGTAATGAAGGCGTCCATCGAGGTGGACGGGAAGGAGATCGAGGAGGGTAGAATTGAGGTGGAGGTGAAGGATCGCGAGGGCAGATATGTGTACAGTGAGACGTGATATCGTGTATCAACGGGACACTGTACATTGGGCTAGCTGCTGTATATACACATGCCTTGCAAACACAATTCGCATTGCGGATCATCTCAAGTCCAGGAACATTCTACACTATCATATCATCTTCATCTGCTGGCACAATCGGTATGAACCTCCTTTGCTTCTTACGTTGTCTGGACATGCGGACTTCACCCGGACCTTGTATGACTTCCACGCGCTCTTCAACATCCCCCTTGACAGCTCGCTTCGGCTCCACGGCCTGCCTCTGCTGCCTTTCCATCTCATTGCGCACGATTTTCGCCAGCGTATCCCACGACCACCCGGCTCTATCCATCTCGCCTTCCACTCGACCTCTCGTCCCCGCATCATCAAGTCCCCGCACAAAAGACTCAACTATCTCACCCTCTCTCTTCCGCGGAGGCAGCTGCGCGCACATGTCCTCAGCGGACGCCAGATACTCCCCGAGATCTCTCCCGCCTTGGCGAATCTGCGGAAGCGTAGTTGAATCGGGTTCGGCAGTGCGTTCCTTCTCCCCATAGTGATCAGCCTGGCCCGAAGATTGTTGCGGGTGGCTCGAAGATCCCCACGTAGTCTCGGTGAGAGTTCGCAAGGAGTCCTTTCGAGCGAATGGAGCAGACTCATCCAGGCGCATTGAATCTGGGACTATGTCCGGTTCTGGAGACGCCTGCTTGAACCCCGTAAAGTCTGTCCTTGATCAGCAACAACACTTACAAATGAAACCTCGGAGGGGAATCAGACAAGACATACCACCACCCTCTGGACCTCCCAATCTACCTTGTCGAACCTCCTGTCTCGTAAACCAAGCCCGAACCTCATCCAGAACCTGCCTCCGTATTGACTCCCTCGATTCATCCCGCCCGTTCTGCTCGCTGCATTCCGGTTCGATGCTATCGAGCCTCTCTTTCAGACGACCATTCTCGCGCTCAACGGCATCAATCCTACGAAAGATACCCTTCAACCTAGTCTCAATCCTCTCCGTAATGTCCTTCAATTTCCGGTCGCATGCATCATGGCAGGTGTTGGCTGTCTGTGCGTGTTCTCGTACTTCATTCAGTTGCTGCTTCAGTTCGTTGATGGCTGAGATGGCGCCGGCGAGATCGGCTCGTGTGCTGTCGAGCTGGTTGACCAGGTGGATGTTCTCGCGGCGGATCTGGTGAGCCCAGAGGAGGGAGGGGGCTGATGGGTCCCATGGCCGTACCGTCGTCTTGTCCATGGGAGTGGTGTTTGATGAGAGATGTTCTGGATAAGGGATGATGGGTGAGTATCATGGAATCTGTATTTTGATGGCTGAATAGAGGTGGAATAGGATTGTTTGATAGCAGTTGATGATGAACGTTGCATGAAGTTAAGTTGAACGAGTAGTTGTTGAGAAATTCAAGGGGAACAAATATAAGCTCGGTTTAACAATTGGAATGGCATTTACCTCTATCTATTGTACTGCAGGTATGAAACCACCTCCATGTCATGATCATGTATTCATCCACCCAAAGTGCCTTGTCTGTTCATGAAGCAGAAAGAAAAAGCAACTGAATGAACAAATAGCATTTTCCACTCAACCGACTGGTTAAGTATGATAGCAGCATCCTTAACCAACCAAGGCCAGCCAAGCACAAAATGGTAAGGGAAAAAAGACGGCAAACTCGAAGTGATGCAGGAAAAGAGAAACCATGAATTACAGCGTTAAAAAGCACAGAACATGTCGCATCTCCATTAGAAAACAAAAGGAAACCATGAACAGCAGCTTCCGAAGATGTGCAGTAGCTGCTTCTACTGCACCCTCCGCAATCCACTGCCAGCAGAAGAAGAGCTGGAGACACAGAAAGCCACTTTTAAAGGATTCTCCTTCGCCAAAAGACAAGCAACGATGTTAGAAAACGCCTTTTTCCACCGCAGCTTACCCTTGGCACGTTATTGGCATACTGCGATCGTGAACCGCATTATAAAAGAATGCGGGTGGTAACTCGAGGTTGAGGCGTTTAGATAAGGTCTGACAGCATGTTAGCTTACATTCAATCAAGGCCAGACTCCACAAGTTGGACTTACCAGCAACGTTCATGGGCATCTCCTCGATCTGGGTGCTGTAGAACTGCTCGATCTCACGCATCATGCGGACATCGTCAGCAGTGACGAAGTTGATGGCAACACCCTTACGACCGAAACGACCACCACGACCGATACGGTGAATGTAGTTCTCACGGTTGGCGGGCAAGTCGTAGTTGATGACCAGGGAGACCTGCTGGACGTCGATACCACGAGCCAGAAGATCGGTGGCGATCAGGACACGGGAAGAACCAGAGCGGAACTCCTTCATGATAACGTCACGCTGGGCCTGCTCCATATCACCGTGCATGGCGGAGACAGTAAAGTCACGAGCAGTCAGCTTGTCAGTGAGCCAGTCGACCTTGCGGCGGGTGTTGCAGAAGATGACAGCCTGGGTGATGGTGACGGTCTCGTAGAGATCGGACAAGGTGTCGAGCTTCCATTCTTCCTTCTCGACGGCGATGTAGAACTGCTTGATACCTTCCAGGGTGAGTTCCTGCTTCTTCACCAGGATACGGACGGGGTCGCGCATGAACTTGGTGGTAACCTCAAGGACATCCTGGGGCATGGTAGCAGACAGCAGGACGACCTGGGTGGACTGAGGAAGGAGCTGGAAGATGTCGTAGATTTGCTCGGTGAAACCACGCTGTAGCCATGTTAGACCAGATGTTGGAGCGAAATATGCGCAAACCAAGGCCAACTTACAGAAAGCATCTCATCGGCCTCATCGAGGATGAACATCTTCAGGTTGTCGGTGCGAAGGACACGGCGCTGGATCATGTCGTGGACACGGCCGGGGGTACCGACAACGACCTGGGGACCCTCCTGAAGAGCCTTCATGTCCTCACGAACATTGGTACCACCAATGCAGGCATGGCACTCAATGTTCATGAAGTCACCGATGGCGACAACGACCTTCTGGATCTGCTGAGCCAACTCACGGGTGGGAGCAAGGATGAGGGCCTGGCATCCCTTGACGTTGGGGTCGAGCTTCTGCAGAGCGGAGATGGAGAAAGTGGCAGTCTTTCCAGTACCGGACTGGGCCTGGGCGATGACATCGCTACCTGTGATTTCCAGATTAATGACAATGCTTTCAGAGGCCGTAACAGGAAAAACGTACCCTTGATGATGGGCATGATGGCACGCTGCTGGATAGCAGAGGGACGCTCGAAACCATAGGCGTAGATACCTGAAGAAGACGTCGTCAATACTTGCTACACACATACCCCGCCATATCGTCGAGTTGAGACGAGTGAAACATACCGCGAAGCAGCTCGGCCTTCAGCTCCATGGAGTCGAAGGAGTCGGTGATCTCATCGTAGTTAGACTCGATCTGTCCTAAAAGTGGGAAGTATTGTCAGTCTTGAATCTTTGGCTGAATTTTTCGGTTGCAAGCGACGCCACAGAAATGTTTGCAGTTGACAGTGTAACACCACCCCAACAAGAACAGAAAGAAAATGTCGTTGAAACTTACCCTCAGGGATCTCCTCCAAACCCTTGTCGTTAGAAGCCATGATTGCGACTGTAGTAGGTGGTGATCACAGGCGAAAAGCTGTGATCGATGAAACAGTGGGGTGTTGGTTGTGAACTTGGAAGTTTTCTTAGCGACAACAGGTCCCAGTGGGGTTTGTAGTCGCAGAGATCTGAGAGTAATGAAAGTCCCTAATAGATACTTTTAGAGACTAGAACCACGACTCTCACGAGAGAGATTTCTTAGGAACTAGTAAAGTAGAGATGGTAGTAGTTGAGATAGTAAGATATTGAAGATGGATTCACCGGGTAGTAGTGATGTGGGCTGGAGAAGAAGAGGGAGAAAAAGATTTTCCTTGTCTCTTTTTGGTGAAGCCGCGAAATTTTTGATTTTTTCCTGTTTAGCGCCAATTCTGCCCAACCCACATCCACCGCCTGCTGTTTGAGGCTTCATGGTTTGCCTCGTGGGATTTTTTTTGCCGTTGGTGATTTGTGAGTGGTGGTGATGCTGATACTTGATGGAGGCACAGAAGGTTCTCGTGCAGGATGCAATAATTATTCTTCTTATCATGCCTTTTGTTCTGTTTGTTCTCTGATATAGAGCTTCCGGAACCTCTCAGAACCAGGTACCCCGTATATTCGGAGTACCCCGTACTTTGTCCTCACCATACAATTCCTCCCATTCTTAGTGCCGGATTCGATTACTGCGGCCCTGGCCACCAGAGAGTCAAATGCCTGATATTACATCTTTGCAGAGTCACCCACTGGGGAAGACTGATTCTTCCTCTTTCTCACCGGATGACAGCCTTCAGGATATAACTGGTCATGATGCAATCCCCTGTCATCCGCTAGGTGTAAAGCCGAGTGGCAACGCTCTACTTGCCAATGAGAATCTCCGTCATGCGATTGGGGCATTCAATCTTCTGCCGGATGAGTTGATTTTAATGCTACTAGAGTCTCTGGATGGTCCAAGCCTATTACGGTTCGGGAGGACCTGTAAGGCTTTTTATGCATTTACAAGAGCGGAGGAACTGTGGAAGGCTCTTTTCATTTGGTAAGGATACATAGATCTTCGTATATTTAGACATGATCACTAGACCTTAGAATCTAGTAGGCTTGAGACCTTTCACTAAGATACAATCTTCAGGTCACCCCCTTCGTCGTTTACGTGGAGAGGAACATGGCGTTCAACCTACCTCAACTTGCCGCCGTCCAAAATTGCCATATTGGACTGCTCAAGTCTGTTTTCTGATGCTCTTCATCGTCCATTCTATTGCGCACACATCTCCTTGGACACTTATGTGAAGAATATTCCCTCGAGAAATCAGATCACGCGTCTTCCAGACCTTTCTCCGGAGGATTTCCAAGCAGAATGGTCGGACAAGCCGTTTATTTTGACGCAGCCGATGAAGCAGTGGCCGGCTTACAAGCACTGGTCCGTAGACTCACTGCTTGCCAAATACGGAGACATGGTCTTTCGGGCGGAGGCTGTGGATTGGAAATTGAGCACCTATGTGGACTACATGAGAAACAACGCAGACGAGAGTCCTTTGTATCTGTTTGACCGGGCCTTTGTGTCAAAAATGGGGCTCAAGGTTGGTCCGCCGGAGGAGGAACCTGAGGCGACCTACTGGCCTCCTCCCTGCTTTGGAGAAGACTTCTTCTCCGTGCTGGGGAATGACCGGCCGGATAGGCAATGGCTTATCATTGGCCCTGAGCGATCAGGCAGTACGTTCCACAAGGATCCCAATGCGACCAGCGCGTGGAACGCAGTCGTTCGCGGCTCCAAGTACTGGATCATGTTTCCCTCCTCGTCGAAACTGCCACCCCCTCCTGGTGTTTTTGTTTCGGACGATCAGAGCGAAGTCACATCACCTCTGAGCATTGCAGAATGGCTGCTTGGCTTTCATGCCGAGGCACGACGCACACCTGGCTGCATTGAAGGTATCTGTGGCGAAGGGGAAATTCTTCATGTGCCCTCAGGATGGTGGCATTTGGTTGTAAATCTCGAGCCCTCCATTGCTATTACGCAGAATTTCACCCCGCGTGCGCATTTGACTGCTACCCTTGACTTCTTGTCTAACAAGGCCGATCAGGTTTCTGGGTTCAGGAAAGATGTGCATAACCCCTACGAGCGGTTTGTGGAAAACATGCGCAAGACTCATCCCGAATTACTTCAACAAGCACTCGACGAGTTGAAGAAAAAGTCAGATGGCAGGAAGCGCAAATGGGATGAGCTGGTCCACGGGAGGGCGGCCCAAGAGGACGCCGGAGACTCCTCTGAAGCAGGCGGATTCAGTTTCGGCTTTGGGGATGATGGAAGTGACGTGGAAGTTCCTTGAGCCACTTTCACCCGACTTGGAGTTTGTCACAAGACGGTCTAAATCATATGTATTCCTCGTAGGCGCAAAGTGCGCCAGGTTGCCTATACACACTGGAAGACCCGACCATCATCTGGGATCAATGACAAGCAACCGTTTTAGCCGCTGACTGGTTATCTCCAAACACCAGATATCCGACGAAAGCACCAACGGCAACTGCAAGCATGACAAACCCGTTATACGTCATGAACAGCAGCCTATACACGTTTGAGCATCTAGACTGATGAAACAAAAGGCAGAAGAGAAAACTTACATGATGAAGAAGCTATAGAAAACTTGCACGGCATACAAGGCTGCAAGGGTGATCTTGCCTCTTTGCTCCACGGCCCGTCTGTTATCCCTACCTGCAACTAGCGGTGAGCTCTCGTTTGGGGGTTGACTAGAGGGAACGTTGGCGGTGGCGGACTCGTCGGCGAACTCATTGCCTTGCACACCGTTCGTCAATGAGGGCTTCAGTCCAGTTATGACCAAAGCAGACATAGAAAGCGGAAGTACATTTCAATGAAACAAATGCTTGCGCGGCAGAGTCCAACGCACCATGCCTTCGTAGATATACGTCCAATAGCTAGAACAGACCGAAGTACTTACCGATTGTAGCTGTTGTTGTCGAGAAAGCGTTCAGACGCTGCGCATGGGCAGCTTCATATTTCCGAGTGGCCTGCCGGACGCCCTCGTAGCCCGCTGTCAAAAGCACTATGACAATCAGGGACATGAGGAGGGAGAAGGGGCCAGTGATATGCCACTGGCTGAAGACGATGCAGAGGTCCTTGGTAGACCAAGTGAATAACATCTGATTGTGTCAGTGTACAAGCTTGTAACTATAGATAGAGCTAGGATATCTCACGTTCATATTGCACTGCCCGCCCATATCCATGTCCCCATGTCCATGGTCCATATCCATGCCGGAATGGTGCATCGCGCTGTGGTCCATCGTTCCAGTTGTAAATAGTATATTGGTTCAAAAGAACACGCGATATATAATGCAAATGCAAGGATCTGAAACTGACGAAACAGAGACAGATCGATGCTGACAGTTGATGCATTCATCAAGGACGAAACGCATGCCAATGCAAACAAGTCAAACAGAGTCGATAAGATCCTCCCTTTGGCTTCACACTTACTAAATACGGGAGTCCAGTCCTCCAACCGGTTTCAAACTTACCGCCCTGCCTCAAAGGGTAACCCAAGCATCACGACCGACAGGCGCCTGCTCAACCTGTTATCAACGAATCAATAGCATATTAATTGAGCAATTCAACATCTGTCAGCCGTTGCTGCGCGACACAAAATGGCAGACACGGTCCCAGCACAAGGTCCGGCCGCAACGGGCACATCAACAGGTGCAACAACAGCCACAGCACCAGCAACAACAGGCGCATCAGGCACAACAACAAGCACACAGGCCCCCAGCACCAACAACGCAACCACCGGCAACGCCAACACTAACACTTCCACAACCACCACAGACCCAAACGGCGGCAACCGCGGCCTCCCCTACTACGAAAAACTCCGCCGGGACCTCCGCGACGCCCTGCAGAAGAAACGCCTCATGGACAAAAGCATGGTACGTTCCCCTTTTCGTCTACCCTCCGGGTACCCCCGCAAACTAATTACTCTACCATCAGGCCCAACTCGAAGACCAAATCTTCCGCTTCGAGCAATCCTACCTCGAAGAAACCACCGCCGGAAACATCATCAAAGGCTTCGACAACTACATCAAGGGGTCCGGGTCGAGCACGGGGCTCGGTGCAAGCGGGATAGCGCTGGCGGGGGGCATGGGCGGCGCAGCGCGTCGCAAGGCGCAGGTGACTGACGCGGATAGGGTGTTTTCGAGGAGTTCGGCGAGTTTCATGCGGGTGCGTCAGCCTTTACTTCCCAACTTCACAATCATAGCCCTGGGATGGGAGGGAGCTATAGACTGACCAGTTATAGGATTCCCCTGCTCCATCATCCGTGCAGACTACGCCTTCGCTTGCGCCGACGCCGACGTCGGCGTATAACGGGTCGAACGGGAAGCTGAACGGCGAGGGCACGTCGTCTGCTGCGGCGAGTGTGAAGGGGTCTTCATCTTCGTCGTCGTCGAAGAATAAGAAGAAGTCTGGGGGCGCGAATGGCGGTAACAAGGATAAGGACAAGGATGATGAGGGCGATGAGGGAGGGGATAAGCCGCCTGCGAAGCGGTTGAAGATTACTTATGGGAGGGATTAAGTTTGCTGGACTCTACTGGTTTCGAGGAGTTTGTGTTGTGGGCTTTTTGTTCTACGCATCAATTGAGGGGTGGGAAAATGGAGCTTAGGCGCAAGGTGGTTCTCTTTTGGGACTGGCACATGTGAGCATTTACGGTTGTCTTACTCTTTCTGTTGATATCCACTTGTATGAAGGCTGTATTAGACTCAAGGCAAATAATGACATTGACTATGCTACTGTTAATCGTATAGACACATCCATCGCACTCAGTATCGACATCATGAGCAATTACAGCTGCAAGCGGTAGGTGGCCACCTCAAAAGCCCGCAGCTCAATCTTGACTGCGACGCCATCGTCGCCCTTGCAAACCTCCAACCGCTCCTCATTGTCTTCGAGCACATTGCACTTCCAAGCCTCCTTGACCGGGAACTTGGTGTGGATTGTACCCCTCGATCTACCGCCCAGCGACTCATAGATACGAAGGATGATGCTCTTCCCGGATCGCTTGGGCAACTCTCCCCGAGAAACGTCCTCGTCGTCCTCTCCGCGCTTAACCACGTCGAGAATGAGAGACTGTGAGCCCGTGACAGCGATGGATTTGAACACGTTAGCGGCTTGCATGCCGGACGAACGGCGCAGGATAAGGGGACTGTTGAAATTATATCCCGCGCGGACGGTGCGGGCGTCTAGAGGACCAGCGTGCGGGAGAATGGCGTAGCGGATGTGATGGCGGCCCATGTCGGCGTGGGCGTCGGGCGCCTTGGGGGCACGCAGAAGCGAGAGACGCATCAAGTTACCGCATGTTGCGAAGCCGTATTTGGAGTCGTTGAGGATCGAGACGCCGTAGCCGTACTCGGACAGGTCGGCCCATTTGTGGCAGCAGACCTCGAACTTGGCCATGTCCCAGCTGATTTGGTTAGAAAGTATTACTCATAAGACTAGTTCGACATACCTTGTGTTGTAATGCGTCGGTCGTCTGGTGATTCCGTATTGAGTCTCGTACGATGCCTCTGTGTTTGTGACGTCCACAGGGAATTCGACCTTGAGGAACTTCATGGTCTCCTGCCACTCGACTTCGCTCTCAAATTCAACGTATGAGGGCTGCTCATTCACCGCCGCAGCCAGGCTGATGGTCGTCTTGACCCAGCTCTTGTCGCTAATTTGGACTTTGGTGACCACGCTGACACGGTGCGGGCCTTCCTCTGCGATCGAGGTCTCTCTCGACTGCAGCTCTTTTCTTGATTCGAGATGGTAGACTTCCACATCCCAGGCTTGCCAGTAGAGCGGCTTGTCATCAAAGATGACGAGCTGGCCCGCCTTACCTCCCTTGGCGATGACTTCTCGCTTGGCTTCGAGGTCGTACAAAGAAGTAATGACGCCATCCTGGACGTCGACCCTCAACTTGCCATTGTCAAGACGGAAAACACCCGGTCGGACCTCTGTCACAGCCACTGCGGGGGTATGTTTGGCGTCTAGGGTCTGGCATTGGATGAGGCCAGAGTCTCCGCTTACTAGAGCATACCGGGAGCCTGTCAAGGCGACAAACTCATCCGGGATTTTGACAATCTCCGAGCGAGACCAAGGCAACGTGTTGATGGCAACGAGACTCTTGCCGGCACTCTTCTCGGAAAATCCAAGCGCCTCGAGAGCATGTTGTCTGGCTCGCTCACCCGTCTCAAAAATCTGTGCATATAGCTTGTCCGAATCGTCGTAGCACATCTCGATGGAGCTTCCGGGTAGGCAATCGTGGAACTGGCATAGAAGCACACCTTCCCACATGTCATCAATATCTTTCTTTGGATATTTGTAGTTGCCACTCGTCTTGGTAAGGGATGCAAGGGTCGCCAGATACTCTAGATCACGCAGCAGGAATTCAGACTTGCGGTTGTTCCGCTTATTGTTCGCCTGCGTAGTGTATGTGCCCCGGTGCAGTTCAAAGTAGAGCTCGCCATACCAGGTGACAAACTCTGTTCCATTTGCAACCTTTTGCTCAAGTCTCCCGAAGAAATCATCAACCGAGTCGCCCATCTTCACACGCGGAAGCAAGCCAACCTTGTCACTGAGACCCCGGCAGCGACGCAGCTTCTCCAGATGTTCAAAGGTAGGGCCACCGCCACCATCTCCTTTTCCGAATACTAGAAGCGAAGTGTTGTCATGGTCCATCGATTTGTGCTGGGTGACGCTGCGTTTGACATCGCCAAAATGCGCATCCGCGGTGTACGTCTCGGACGGAGCCATGTGGCACATTACCTGGCTACCATCAAGCGCAACCCACTTGAATGTAGTGTGCGGAAAGTTGTTGATATTGTTCCAGCTGAGTTTCTGGGTAAAGAATCGGCTCATACCCGCCAGCCGACATATCTGAGGGATTTGACTGGAGTAGCCAAAGGTATCCGGCAACCAGAAAGTGCTGCAACGCTCGCCAAATCGGCTCTCAAAGAACCTTTGCCCGTAAATGAATTGTCGCACCAGTGACTCGCCACTGGGCAAGTTGGTATCGTGTTCGACCCAGCTGCCCCCAATCGGCTGGAAATGGCCCTTCTTCACCCATCGTTTGACGCGGTCAAAGACCGAAGGGTAATATTGCTCGAGCCACTTGAACTGTTGCGCCTGGGAGCAAGCGAATCGGTGCTCCGGGTACCGGTCCATCAGGTCGCACTGGTTAGACCATGAGCGAGCAACCTTGCGCTTTGTCTCCGCCCAAGGCCAGAGCCAGCAGGTGTCGATATGACAGTGCCCGATGGCGTAGACAATGGGCTGGGTATCTGTCTCATAAACCTGGGACGAGTCGACCTTGTCCCCAAGATACTTCTGAGCGATTTTGCGCGCTTCCTTGATCGACTCCTGGCTTCCGTCACCCGCTATGAAAGCGTCCATGATGGCATTGGCAACCACATTCGCTTCATGAGCCTCCCAGGAGTCACCAGGGAACTCCCTCGCCGCGTCTGCAAAAGTTAGCCACTAATAGACACCTTTCTTCATCAGGAGCAACCATATACGCACCGCCAATAATCCAGAAATCATAAAACAACGCCCGCGCCTCCACATTGACGGCAGTAATCCGCGCCGTATGCAGCGTATAGTACTTATCCGGCGCGGGCGGCTGGATGGAATCGCCGCCAGGCGCATTCCCAAACATAGCATTGCACGCCATTTCAATATAAAACGTATGTTCCTTGCCGTCGCGCCACGCATCAGGAATAACCCATTCGATCCGCTCCCCGCCCCCAGTCAACCCCTGCACCGGCCGACCATCCTCCATCCACACCAAGCCCTCATTATTCGCATCCCAATGGAACTCCAATCGCTCCTTGTCGAGCATATCCCGCGGGACCGTCAGCCGAATCCGGAACCAGTGAGTCGACCAACTAGGGCCGAACGACGCGCCGATATGCGTGGGCTTGGACTCGTGCGATGTCGCCTCTTCAAACGTCGGACGCTGCAGGTCTGGCGGAGAGTAGACGGATAGCTTGACATGGTCTTGGTCGGAGGTGGTAGCTTCGTAGAGCTTGCTGTGGGTGTGAGTTAGCGGGGACTCTGGGCGACTCTTCTGTTGAATGGATAGACGTACGAGATGAGGCTTTGCTCACGGTACTGGCCTGAGTCTGTGAACTGGCGCAGTCGATCCGTGTAAATACTCTTGATGCGTTGGCCGACGGGATGTTCTGGGGCTCGAGGGAGTGAGCTTGGAGCTCTCAATGGGGCGTCTCCACCCATCTCGGCGGGCCTAGACCGTTGATGTAGATATGTTGAGGGATACACCTTAGCGGTTTAGTTAAGAACTATTTGGTGATGTTGGTGAAAACCCTAGATTCGGCGTCTTTAGTCTCCGTAGAGATGAAGAAAGAAGAAAAGAGGAGAAGGGGAAGGTCAGGAAAAGCGCCCAGCCGGATATTCGCCAGGAACAGTGATGACGTTTAAGTGCGGAGAAGTCAACAGCGGGCGATGGCGGGGAAACGGGGGCGGATGAGATGGAATGTGAGACATCAACGAGGGTCATGAGATGTTGCATGATCCAGGAATTAGTCTATGTCTCCTCTCGGCTGTCTGAATTGATCTTGAGAAGCTAAATATCGACAGGGTTATTGAAAATATCCTTGTAGGACTTGTACCATGACAGCATCACCTGGACCGAGATACGCTTCAGGTTATCCATAGATCACCTATTCGTATCACCCCAGACAATCACTACAAAGTACAGGGTTAATACCCTTGCATTGAACGAGAATTGTACGGAGTACGCGTATGGTGAGATGAATAGGCGGAGATCTCATCTATTGCAGAATATTCTCAATTACAAGGAGTGCATAACCCATATAGGTGGCATAAAAAGTCGCTTCTATCAATCATCCAATCCAGTGCCGAGACGCCAAACATAAGCCTTAGGCCTTTCCAGAGGTATCAAAAATAACAAGGAAGAAATGAAATCATCAGAGGTGCAAAAAATTTAACGGGAAAAGAGACAGAATGCAGAAACAGTAGAAGAGAAAAAGTAAAGATAGAATCATATCCAAGAATCGACGCGTCCATAGGTAGTATATGGGTTGACCGGTCCTATCAATTTAATCTGCGATTTGAGCTGCATTCGTCGACGGTCAACGCTCGACTTGATCACTTTCTTCTTCGCCCCATCAAGCACATCCAGCACTTGAGTGGTTCCATCCTGTAACACTCGAATGGCTTCTCGAGTGTTCTGCTGGATCACGGAACGTACCGGCGGCGACAAGGGCGCAGTGGGATTGGCAGATGTGAAGTCCGTACTTGATTTCGACTTTTGCGCGGAAGATGGGTAAATGTTCCTTTGGTGCTTTGGAAATTTCACCTGGTGATTTGGCCGATAGTTAACCCTCTTTGTGCCGCCGGATTTGTCCCAGATGGCCGCACCATACTTCTGGTAAGGAGTGATGGGGACAGCAAGCTGCTTTGTCCGGTGAACAGGAATTGGCTTGGGGCTTTCTGCCCATCGTTCGCTCATAGTCGAATCAGTTGAGATTGATAGGGTTCTCATCCGGATATCTATATCCACCGGGCTCGATTCTTCTATAGATGTTCCGTGATGAGGGTAGTCGCTCGAGGTGGTGGTCCCCTGTGAGGACGCATACTTGGGCGGGTAGAAGGAGGGCGCAGTGGCGGGGCGTCCTCGTCGTTTCGGCTTGTCTTTCGCAGCAGAACGCTTCGACAATGTGCGATGGACGTAGGAACGGATCGAGTCCCGAACTTCATGGGCGAGTGTCAGAGTCCCCCGGTCGGAGGTATTCGAACGCCTGCGATTCCTTCCAAAGTCAAACGAGGATAAATGCAATTTGCCCCCGTTTCTCATCCGCGATTGCGAGCTGGCGGGAGGAAACCGTCCGGCTGCTCCAACACCCAGGGCAGACGGGGTCGCTAATTCGGGGAAGAAATCCCATTTCTTCTCCCGAAAATAGTGGTTCGGACCGGCCCGTTTCTGGGCCCATTCTGGCGGGCTTCCATACCGGTCGTCTTTTGATACTGATAGAGCATGTTGGGAAAGCGACAGGCTTGGAGAATAGGAAGCTATTGTTGATGGCTTCGCACAGGGGTCCACTATTGGCTCGGCGCGATCGAAGGACGACACCGGAGGATGATCGACAAGCCCGGCCAGGTCATCCGACGCCGAACGGACAAAAACGGGATAGCTTTCCGTCGAGTGGGTGGATTCGCGGTCTCGACTGCCGTCACTATCCACACTACTAATGGTACTGCTGTCATCGCTCCATGCTGTCGAACCCCTCATCTCTGAGGCATCTGGGAGCGACTGTACTTGTGAGGGAAGGTCGGGAAGAGGTTTGTCCAGCTGCAGGGTAGGACGAGCTGGAGGTTGAGGAACTCTAGGCGGGATGACCTGCTCCAGTCCCTCTAGAGATCGCGACGGTCTCACTGGAGGAGCCTGACGGGAGTAAGCGAGAGAGGTGGGAGACAACATGATCCCAACTTTATACTCGACCGTCAAGCAGACACCTGAGGTATATTGTTTCTCCCTCCACGAGGGATTCCGCTTGGAAAGTGGGGAAGAAACAAGTGTTTCGTCAAGACAACCACCAACAGAAGTCGGTGGATTTTGGATTTAGGTATGGCGAATGGATCAGTTTGAGTTACGGAGTAGACAGATGAGGTTCAGTAATATCTCAAGAACAAAGAAACCCAAACCGCCAAGGAATGGGTTCAATCTGCGTGTCAACACTCAACACCACTAGGGTGTCCGGGATGGCTGATCACAAGACCCTTTCCCCGCAAGTCAGCCTGTCGCTCGAGCCTCGAAGTGGGAATGCACAGAAAGGATACAGCGGGAGATATACGAACAAGCATTTTCGGGAAAGAAAAAGAAAAGAAGAGAAGAAGAAAAGAGGGGGAGAGAGAGAGAGAGAGAAGAAAAAGGAGGGGGGAGAACCGGGAAGAATAAAGCAACAGAGCTGCGAGGGAAAGAAAGAGGAGTAAAAATAAAAAATGAAAAAAGGACAATGCGAAGTAAAGGGATAGAAAGATGCAGCCAAACGAGTGATTATTCAGGTGGAGGGTAATCAGGCCTCCCCCCTAGATAGAAAATGATGAGAAGAGAAAAGAAAAGCCACAATAATAATAGTATGGAAACAGACGAGATAATGGAGAAAAGGAAAGGGTCAGCAAATCATAAAGCAAGGTCAACCATGCAGCGGCGCAGTTTGCAAGTCGTCCTGCAGGATAATCAGCATCGGAGCATCATGGCCAGCAAACAGCCTCATGGACCGTCGCGAGGGGTGACATGCCAACGTAAGGGATGCCTAGATTACTGTTGTGTCCGGCCTGCCTCTGACCCTCTGCACTGCCTTACTGTCTTTCACCATCATGACATGTTTAGGTAACTTAGACGGGTGAAAGATAAGAATAGTATCTTAGGTTGAGAGTGAAATATCTATGAGTAGGTAGTACAGTACTGATGATGGACACCATAAAGACGCTCAATGCGGACTGGGTACAAACTGCTCCGTACCACTAGATACTAGACTAGGTAAGGTACTATGTACCTAAGGGAGGAGTTGCTTGATTAAGCTCAGGTACGGCCGATAGTATTGTGCACTAAGTATCTACATTATGTACGGAGTACCTAGATCCCCAGTGCCCAACCTCGTGAACAACTAATCAGGTACCTGGAAAGCTACCTGGAGGAATCGATAAGGAATCGACACGTCTAATTCTCTATACCTAACTAAGTTTGGCTGCCTTCTGCATCGTCTCTGGCGTGAGTTCGTCCGTGGGTTTACGAACGGCATTTAGTCGGCCCATCTTTCGGAGATTGGCGATCATCGCTTCATCGCCAAAGTGGCTGTTGTGTTCGAATTCCGGGTCCTCGCCATATGCCACTCGCGCGACATCCACCAGAATGCGGGCCGTCATGCCAAACACCCGATAGCGAGTTACCTCGCCTGATTTTTCTTTCTCTTCTAGCTCGTCTGCAGCCTGTTTCTGCATCCGGCTGCTGCTGCGCGGTTTGACGACCGACCGGCTGTTGATGGGGACAAAGAACTGATGCACTGCGAGTGGGTCAGTGACAGTCAAGACTATGTAGACATACGCCGACGAAAAAGCAAAAACCAATCAACCGACGATCTTATTTTTTTTTCTTTTTCTTTGTCATTTTCCTTCGGCCTGATTTCTTTCTTTTGACTTTTTATTCTTTTTCATTGCAATTCAACCCGATTCAACCGACGGTACACCGCCTGTCAAACAAATGTACTCTACGGAGTACAGGAGTAAGGTACAGCGCTGGTACCTAGGTGCAACCGTGCAAACGGAGGACAGTGCCACTTACTTCTCCAATTGGACTGGTGCCATCCGGTCCAGGAGCCTTGATACCACTCTGTTGGGTCCTCGGTGCCCCAATCATCCGCATCACTCATGCGTAGAAAGTTGTGAAATGGCGCCGTAAAGACGGCCGCCACCTCTCTGGCATCCAGCCTGGGAATCAGCGACACCTCTGGGTCGGCATTCTCGCCCGTCTCCTCGTCATACGAATGGAGCAGCGCCACGCAAGGGCGGACAACCACCTCCGTTCGAGCAAGATTAGCCGGGAACTCGCAGAGATGCTCAACGCTGAACGGCCGGGGAAATGACTGGTTCAGATCAGGCAACCCTATCTCTTCACGTGCCTCGCGGCGTGCCGTCTGGAATGCGGTCTCTTCCAGCGTATCCGCCCGTCCTGGGAAGCGTGGTGTGAGTGCTTGATTTATTTTTTGTCTTTGACTTTTGAGTTTTGATTTTCACAATTGCATTCTTGACTCTTGAATGCGCAAGCGATGATAGATGATATATCATATGCATTGGGATATCTTCATTCCTTCGAATCTCGGATTTTTGCTTGACCGCAAATTGGAGCGCTCCACTCACCTCCAGGTAAAGCCGCTTGGCCAGCGTCTGTAGAAATAGCGGTATGAGTAGATCGTCCTCATCATCTTGTCAAGATATGTTCATCGACACCTCCTCGCCATTCATTCCCTGGAAGCTTATGAGAGTACTCACATGAACTGAGCGTCTTCGCCCGAATCGTCAACACAACCCTCAGATCCCCCTTGGCATCCGCATAGAGTAGCACTAGAACTGCCGCTCGACGCGACAATGGCACAAGTTCATAATTCGTCGGTGGAGGCCGATACTCTCTTAGTCGATCAATCGCTCTCTATTCAACGCAATCGTAGTAGCGGTGCTGGTTAGCCAAGATGCATCATCGATGTCGTCGTCGTCATCACCGTCATCATCGATTTCACACTGGCAATTGACAGGGTAGAGATAGTTCAGAAACAAAACAAGGGCGGCGACAGCCGCAAACCTCGGAATGAAATGAGATCATTATATAGCACTCTGAAACACCCACAAACCCATGATTATCCCTTATGCAGCCCGCTGAAAAGTTCCAGAATGGGAAGACGGTTGCAGTAACGCGTGATTGGAATCAAACTTGGCCTCCGAGTTTCACAATTAAACGGCACGTACCTGTGAAGCCGGATTCAGGCGAGGCATCTTCTCCCTTGCGGGTGCGGGCTGTGACGCAAGTCGCCTGCTGGTGCTGGTGCTGAAGCCACGGGTTATCGCGGTCAATTGGAGGAGTGCTCTTCTTAGCATAGTATGCAGGGATATGAGCGACTAGGGCGCTTTGATTTATTTTATATCTTCATGGCAACTATGGATCTAGTTGTTGATGTTGGCGTGGGGATGGGTGGTGCTCCATTGCCGTTGCCGAGGTTAGTGGATCGTCTGGGGTCCCTGGTCTGGTTAAGGTCGTGGGTTCTGGGGTAGAACCAGCCTTGAGCTCAATTAGGACCGGCACTACTGAGCCTGACAACTGGGTTAAGTGAAAAACACTAAGTATCCTATTTCAATAACTGTAAGCTGAGATGCATTTTATTACGTCCCCTGCTTGACTCAGCTGGTAGACAGTTGCAGTTAGGTGCGAGATGCGCATCATAATTGTGTTGAACTCGACTTTGGCATGCATCCATCTAGTCTTACATCATTTTCAAGAAGTCAACGAATGTAATGAACAAGAAAAAAAGGTAGAGAGGGGGCCATTAATATGATCGTAATGTAGAACAGCCCAGTGGGCCAATGCGAAAGCCCTCTCCCGATGCCAAACCTCCATCAAACTCCCTGATATCTATCGAGACAATACATCATCAATAATCAAAATCACATAAATAGAAAAAGATGGTAAGCGGAGGAGAGTGCTTCGACGAAAGAGAATGGACATCAGACGCACTGAACAAGAAGAAGTCTATCAAGAGTGGAAAGTAAAACAAAGTGGAAGTGGTAGAGAGCGCCCGTGGAAAATCAGACGAAAATGCAAGTCTATTCGTTTGGGGGATTTATCATCCCAGGCAGAAGGCGAGGCGAGGGGAGATAGAAGGAGAACCAACTGCCGACGACACACTATTGTGAGGAACCTCCCTTCTTCTCATCCTTCTCCTTGGCTGCCAGGTCTTCTGACTGTGTCTGCTCGGCCTTGTCGCCTTCTTTCTCAGCCTCAGCAGCCTCGTTGGATTGTTTTTCTTGGCTGTTCGACGCCTCAAACTTCGCGTCCTCTGTTTCGTCGATATCCTCAATGTCCTTGGGGGTCGTAACGCCCTTCTCTTCGTGTTGGCTGTTCTGCTCGTTTTCCTCCTCGATGAGCTCTTGCTGCTCCTTGATAACCTCAAGACGCTGCTTGTTGGTGGCAGCGCCCTCGGCATTATGGACCTCGAGCTCAATTTCGTGGAACAACTCTTCAGGGATGCTAGACAGCACAGACTTGAGCGCTTCAATCTGAGACGCCATCTCTGCCTCCTTGCCGCCCTGCGCATATGCGAACGCATTGCTCAGCACTAGAAGCGTGGAAGGAACGCCTTGCTTGAGGCGCAGATCCAGCCACATCGCCAGGTCTTCCCGCAGGCGAGCGGGAGAAATACCATGCGTACGAATGCCACGTGAGGCACAAGCCATCTGCAGTTCCGGAACAGAGAGCGAGTCCACCCCCTCGTAGAAAATCGCGCGGTCATCACGCTTAATCTGACGCATACGGTGTCGAATGTTGTACCGGAGCATGGCGTCCGTACCGAACGAATTCAGGTTCATGTATTTGCAAATGGCGACAAGCTGAGGGCGGGACAGATTGTCCAGGGTCAAGTCATCCTTAAAGATCTTGCAAACCTTGATCACGTCCTCGGTCGAGGGGGTCTCCCCAGTGGTTCTAATCTTCTTGAAGAATTCTGCGAATTCCTCGTTCCTCACAGCGGCGGGAGTCACGGGGAGACCACTCTCTCTAAGAGTATTCTTCAGAAAGGTCGAAACCTCTTGCCGGGTTGAACTCAAGCTAAGAGCCTTTTTCTCGCGCGCTTTCTGGCCCTCGTAGGTGCTAGGCAGCAGGTTGGGGAACAGCTTCAAGGCGACGGGAAGTAGCAGTTCGGCGAAGGGGATAATGATGAACATCGAGAATGGGATCAATCGGCCAAGATCTTTCACCGTTCGTTGAAGCTAATTGTTCAATAATGAGTGAGTTGAGTCCATTAATGCCATCGCAAGGGTAGCAAAAGACCTACCTGTCGGTACTCTCTTCGGCTTAGCTCATATCCAGCAGCCATCTTCAACGCCAGTCGTGAACTGATCCTGACTTCCGTAGCAAGAAGCTTCGTACCATCCCAGTAGTGCTGAACTTCCTTCTTAATCTTTTGCCCAATCGTCAACTTCTTCTGCTCCTTCTTCGCCTCAGTCACTTTCTTGTCATCGTCCGCCAGCCCCTTCTTCGCCGCTTCCAGCTCAGCGCGTTTCTGTGAATCTACGCTGTTCTCCGACGCAAGAGGCGTCTCTGGCTTGGGAGCGACCTGGGTGCTCCCGTTGTCAGCCGCAAGTCGCGACGCATCTTCCTTGAGAATGGGCTTCTTGGCCTGTTCGGCGTTAAAGCCCGGAGGCGGCAATGGGTTGGAGGGCGAAGATGTCGAGGTAGAAGTTTCTGTGGCATAGCCGCGCTGATGGGAGACCAAGATCGCAATAGCCTGTATGTGCGTCGGGAACCCTCGTCCGTTGAACCGGAGATTTGCGGCCGATGCAGCGCCCAGGGCGCCGTTATACCGTGGTCGGCCTGTGGGTACCGATCATTATTAGACACGATAAATATCCTCCAAGTACAAGGCAGCTAAAATGAGCATAAAAAGTTGACTTACCGATCAGACTGGGGCGCACAGAATTGGTGCGCATAAGCCTGGCCGATCTCATTGTGACGGACATTGCGGAAGTCTAGGGGCATGAAATGCTCGGAGTGACGAGCGAGTATAGCAGATGAGCGTAGCAATCTCAGAGAGAGTTGTAATCCTGATCTCTTAATGGACTCAACCGTGCAGAAGGAAAAGTAAGTATGACACTCAAAGTTTGAAGTAATGATGTCGTTGAGAACTCTCCAGAGACCATGCAAGAAGATGTGGTTTCTTCACGTGATCTCAGCGGATTTCGGGGTTTTCGCTGGCGTCGGAGTTTATCAAGTCCCATTAAGACTCTTGGAAACAAGCTCTCTAGACTACTCTACTGGCATCGGCCGCTCTTCTGGTGGATCATTATTACGTATTAATCTCAAGTTGCCCCATATTCTGAAATTAGTAACAAGTGGACCATGCTGTTCATATCAGACATAATCAACGCGATACATGCGCCACTGAAATCACAGAAAGATGTCCAGCTGAAAGGGAAATTCGTGTACTTCGTGGAATGTAAATCAATCGCAATCATCGACAGTCTAGATCATATAGGCATAAAGTGTATGAATATAGGCAAGCGGCAGAGACAAAAGAATGACTAAGGCAGGGTATCATCAAGAGCAACACAAAACCAACCGATGTCCGATCCAAAAGCATTGCTAGAGCATAGACAAACTCAATAGACAGACTCAGTAGACAGACTCAAGGAGATAAAAGAGCGTTTGTAAAATCGGGTAGGCGATACGGACTCTACTTTCTGTCGCGCGTGATCGCAGCGCCCGCGAAATTGGAGCCATCTACGGCAGTCGACACCGCACTGGCGTCAAGTGGAGGGATCTGATCGAGACTTGACTTGTCGCAGTCCTTTTGCGCAGACGGTGAGTCATCCAGGATGCCAGCCCCAGCAGAAGAAGTGTTGTTCAAGATCGGTAGCGTTGGGCTGGTCATGCCAGCCGGAGAGGCCTGCCAGCGGGCAACATCTTTCTTCAGCTCCTCCAGCTCCTTCTGGAAGCGTTTGCCAAAGATGTCAATGTAGTAAGTGGCGCCATTGTGGATACTCCAAACGAATAGGGCTGTCAAAAAAACACCGCTGGCCCATCGGAACCGGAACCAGAGGGGGCAAGGAATCATGGTCAGAAGCGCATAAATGTACTGAATCATCATAAAGGCGGGTGCTTGCAATGATTCCGGAAGACTGATCACAAACTTCCCAATCCAGGTCTTTGCATAGGATTTGCGAAGCCACGTGAAGCTGGTAGGACGCCCAGCGGCGATCTTCTCGGCACGACGCACAGTAATGAAAAAATGATAGGTCAGCTGCCAGATCATGTAAGGCACGGTTGCCCACAGCATCATGGAAAGGAGAGAATAGTGGTTGGGAGAGCCAGGTTTGCTAAACTTGATGTCGTAGACGGCCGGAAATCTCTCTCGCAGCATTTTCGCTGGAGTGAGATGGACGAGGCAGTGTAAGGTAACCGGTGGCATGATGTGAATGAAGAGACTGCACATGATACGCGTCAGCGCCGGCTCCTCTGCTGGGGAATTTCGCAACGTCACTTACCTGACGACCTTATCCATGCTGTGGAAGACCATGGAGTTTCGCCACATTGCAATAGCGACGGCGTTGTTTCCAAAAGTGAGGCAGAAGGTGCTGATAAATAGTCTCTTGGACCTCGGGAAAACCCAGATACTGAGCATGCAAAGCACGTTGACAAAGTAGCAAAGATCGGCAAGGAAATAATGATATCCCTTTTTGTGGTATCCATAGTATCGGATCGGCATAAAATAGGCCAACTGCGCGCTGAACCAGATATAGAAGTATTCCGGGTAGGCTCCGATGAGGTAGCCGCTGACGAAGATATTGAGAACACCCGCGATGAATGAAACTTTCTCGCGTAGTGTCACCGTGGCCGTGGCATTCCACTGCTTCTCCAGCCGCTTGACACTGTCGCTCATCCGACGGCGATATTTGGCCAACTGCTCATCGGCTGTGGGAACCCGCCGCTTCCATTCTCCGACCACTCGATCCTTTGCGTTCATTGAAGTAGACTTCAGCTTTTCGCGCTGCTTTCTGACCTTCTCTCTCTGCACATTGATTGCCTGTTGCCATTTCTCGAGTTTCTGAGAGAGCGAAAGGTTGTCAAGCAAGTCAAACACGGTGAGTTTATCTAGCGGCGGAAACGTCTCCCAATCATCCTGATATGAAAAGGAATGGTTTCGCGACAGCCTAGGAGGAGAGGCTGGTGGCGAATACGAGCGATTGGAGGAGTTCGCATATTCATCCGTGTCATAGAAGGCATCCATATCTTCCATCGACGCGGGTTGCAATACAGGTGAGTCATGCACGCCCGTCATCTGGTTCGCCTTTCCGTCTTGGTCACCATCAAGTCCGGTGCCCTCCATGATGAGTTTCTGTTGAAATGAGAAGATTGTGGGGCCTTCCCGGCTGTGAGGGTAGGGACGACTAAGAAAGCGGCCGAAAGTTAGCATCACCATGTTGCTTCAAACCCAGATGCCGTCCCCCAACAAGGTATGAGAGAGCTCGAATACGTAGGCTTAAATCAAACAAAGTGACTTCTGCGATGCAGGAAGCAACAAGAGTCTGGAAGTCTTATCGATAGGAGGGGCTGATATAACTACCTTTGGTAGGCTGAGGACTCACAAGGCAAAAACAACGAATCTTCGTCCAATGAAGATTGGGACTGTTATCCAATGGTCAAATGCGCCAGTCTCCTTCAAAACCCAAGGCGCGTGATACTATGCAAGCGTCAACTGCACTGCCGAACGCGACAACGTGCGGAGAAGAAAAGTGAAAAGTTCGATTCGGGAGGACCGTGGTGTTGAGAAAAGGCCCGTTGGGAAGATGAAGCTCGACGTGTGCTTGAAGTGACGTCTCTGGTTGGCTGCGGCTGATTTGCTAATCCCAAGGTCTGGCTTATTATGGTCCCTGGGATCCGGGGCATGATCTGCTCAGCCAGCCAATAAGCTTCAGCCACAGGATCCCCCTTGCCACTTCTGATGATTTGCTGCCTGAGGTGTGACTATTTCATCGACTCCCTGCACTGTGCTGAGTGTCCATTGCTACCTACCTATCTAATATGCAGGTTATTACTTCATTTTGATAGGACAAATAAGACACAACATTACCATTAGAGAATTACGACCACTTGGAGAGAATAAACAGTCTCGCTCGAAGGAAATCTGCGTGCAGTAGATCCATAATAAAGCAAAAAACGAAGTACTGATATATATTTGCAACCCGGTCACACTGTTCATCAACTATCCGCTATAAAACGCCGGGATGGATCTTCTTTGGGGAAAGAAAATGTCTACGAAGCTACTGAGCCGTGCTTAGAAGGAGACATGACAGCGGCCATACACTACTAGGATCAATAACTCTCCAATTTACATCATGGTCCAAATGCAACTGCGGATTTTTGATGATGCGGTATTAGCACCCCCGAAATGTTCGGGTCCATCATGAAATCACCCTTCCCTTGTGCCACCAGACGTCGGCTCAGAGATGTTCTTCAACGCTACTGGTGAGAAAAGGCGTGAAAAGATGATAATCCAGGTCAAGCTCCCAATACCACAGTTCATCCTCCAGCTCTTTTCTTGCCTCCATCACCAACTGCTTCTGCAGCTCACCCATCAAGGACTGGCCGACAACCGCAACCTTTCCAATTTGCCGAAACAGACGTGCCACCGCCACTATATGTAGAGAGCCAGCTCGAGGGTCGCCACATATGACCAAACGTTGTGCGCAGGCCCAAGATATCAGGATACGAACTGAGCTAAGCAAAGGAAGCCCGGAGAGAATAAGGTCGACGCTCTGGCGATGCTCGCGCATGTATTCAGTGAAGTACGGAGTATAGGCGATGTGCATGATGCGGTGCTTGGGGAGATGGTTGGGAGTTTTTGAAGGATCCGAGTATCTCATAGTGTAGCCCCATCCAAGGGCGTCGAATGCAAAACGGCTGAAAAGGATTTGCTGCACCTCGTCATAGATCTGCTTGCTCGTGGTTAAAAGATTCATGTACACCCCATTTGAGTCTCGCCAGACGGTGCGGCCACGGATATAGTATATTGATTTCAACGATTCTCCAAAAGTGATGACTTCACGGTCAAGCCAGTAATTATCGGTGCTCGAAATAGCCCTGCAGAGAATTTCGCTGCGAATCTCGAAGGGGAGGTCGAGGAGGCGAAATGGTGTTGGCACGATCGCGTGACTTGACTCTGTCTTCATTGCATCCTTAAAAGAGGAAAGGGCTTGAGAATAGTGTTCCGTGAAATAGGGACCCTCCTGAATCCAGACTTTCCGATCTAAGTCCATATTGCAAGAGAAGGTCTGAGACCCCGAGCGCTTGCTTCTCTATGGACTTGATAGATTTGCTGGTTCTGCATCTGACTATTTGTCGTCCGACGAACGGTGAATGCTGGCCCTCGCGGTCTGGCCGTTGAGGGGTCTACTGTACACTGAGTCAGGGCACTCGCAGCTGGTCTGGCAAGGATACATGGAGTAAGGACTTTCCGCTTTCCTGACAATGAGCCAGTTTTCTGAATGGGACAGTATACATTATTTCACCAGAACACAGCCATTGGCTAAGAACGGCTCATTTGCTCAGAACGCTATGAGCTAATTGATATGCAACAGGGAAGAATCGACAAAGGAGATAACACAAATGAAAGATATGCCCACGCGGTTCTTAACAAGACACAAGCCGAAAACCCTCCACATTATCTACGTTTGCTGAAAACGGGATTCCAGAGCATCGTGTTTTGCAATTTGTCTCCACATGAAGAGGGACGATAGATGACCAAAAGTGAAAACCAAGAGGACGGCCAGCGATAAGGCAAGTCGCAGGGAAAAGCTGTTGAGGAGGTCAGAGACGGGCTCAGATTCAGGCTACAGCCGAGATTTCACGGGAACGGACCTTCCTATAACAAGTTCCAGTCAGTTTGACGACATATTAAATGGCACATTCGTCCCAGGGGTTCCATGGCTCCACATCATCGAATGCTGAG